AGGTTTCCCCCTTGAGTTTGCTAACTTGAAGTATTTTTCATTTGTCGGTCTACTATCTCGCCACTGAGTCAAATTCCGCCGACACGAAGCACACAACGACTCATCACCTAGCATTTTCCTTTATTTATAACGTTAAAGCATGCACATACGTCTTCGTGAAGTTCCTTTGAGAATTTGAACCACCGAGAAGACGACTTGCAACTACACACGTCATATTTCACAAGACATTTAAACTTTTTTGAAAATTTCCCTTGCAGCAGACAGCAAGCAAACAATAACAAGGACTCTGAAAGGGGTTTCTATGAAGCACTCGTCGCACCCAGAAATTTCCCGCCAACAGCCATTTTTGCGTGCGCATATTTTTTTTTTATACCACGCTGTCACGAAAAAGAACTGATCGCCGTATTTAAGTTGCCCACCTGAACTACAGAGATTGCTAGTTTCCAGTCCACAACAGTCGTTGCCTTGTTGATTTCATCATCTCTTTAGTCGCGTCTGATCTGAGCGCCAGACTGATGGCGTTTTGTCGTTTATTTCTTCCTTTTGTCGGTAATTTTGAAGTTGATCATTATTTCCAGTGTATTATCTACTAATCCTTTTAAATTGTTGTACATAAAGACGATCAATAATGGCTGTTCACTTGTGGTTACGATCTGAACCCAAGATTAGCGAACACCGGACCGCCCTGACTCCAGCTAAGTGTAAAGAGCTTGTTTCAGCTGGTAAGACACGATACATACATTGAATGAATCATTGATTATAAATGCAATTGCGATTTGGAAGAGTGATGTGTATATATTCACTGTTAGAGGTGTGGGAAGGAGAGTTGTTTAAGAGACTTGGCTGTGCATGATAAATTATGTGATCAATCTCCAATTAAACTGAAGTTCCAGACGAGCGAAAGGCACTATTGCAATTCCTCTGAATAAGAAAAGGAACATTGCCTTTCTGGCGAAAATAAAGGAGAGTTGTTTTTATTGCGTAACGATACATATGCATTATTAAATATGGCTCCTTGTCACTGTACTCTCGCTGCGTTTATGCAGTGACGAAATATCGACACCGGAACATGTACGCACACGTAGCACCCATAAGGATAAAGCAGTTTATTTCTTGTGTGAGGTCATTTTGGCCTGATGTGCCATCTAGCCTCATCAAAATCAGTAGGGCAAGAGTACTAATACATAACTGACAGAGTTATTACAACTACATGTGAATAACACTGAATTTTATTAATGCTGATAACTTTTATTCTTCATGTGATTTTTTTTAAAACAACTTGCACTCGTTTAGTATGTAGATGTACCCTGTAGGAGAGATTAAACAATCGCAGTAGACCATTTCATGTGAGTTAATGTGAGGCAATGGTTGACCTTCTCTTGACCTTTTTAATTGATATAAGAACAATACGATTTAAAAATGATTCACACTTTTAAACGAAATATCATTGACCATAAGTTGTTTTTTTGTAAAACCTGCTAATTTTCATTTTAATTGTCATATGACTGTGTATTAAAAAGAAAACTATTTCACGTGTATTTGTTTTTGTTTTGTCATATTTTAGGGTTTCAAATCACAGTTGAAAATTCAAAGGATAGAATTTTCAAAGATGAAGAGTATGCAAGGTAAATAATTTTAGTGTCACTTGACCCAAACCAAGAAAGAGTGAATTTATATACTGACAGTGGAACCCCAATATCTCGCAATCGAGTTACCGGAGTTCTACTGTATTTACCATTCTAAAACCCAATTTTCTTTCATCCTGTTACCTTAATTTACTTCATTGCCACTAGTGCATACATAAGTAGCAAAAAAGGATTTGACTTATTACTACTTATTGCAAAATGCATTCGTTCTCCTTGTCGGAGACTTCATGTTACGTGACAGTATAGTGACACAGATGTTTAAATTAGGTCTGGATTTTATGAGACAATGAACACTTTAGCTGCAAGAATTGATTGACCTTTTTCTGATTATCGCCTAGTAACAACCAATCATATCTAATGTATACTACTATGAAATCAAGCGTTCTTTTCCACGTTTTTGAGAGCAGCTCTTGCACAACTGCTGTAACGAGTGAATACAAGTGAGCCAAGTGATTAAATACAATCGACTCTACTGACTGTCTTAGTGTAGTTTTCGTTGATCTGAAAACCCTAGTGAATGGGGCAAAGTTCTCAACATCCTTGCAGATACATTGCACATTCACAACATGAACAACAACAATGCTTAATCAATTTTTTAGCAATACTTGGCGGTAAGAATGCGAAGAATGATGAATGCAATCAGGGAAAAAATGAATTTTGAAAATGAAAATGCTCAAAAAATACAATCATTACTATTACTAAAGACTAAAAACAAGCACTTCACAAGGGTGCCCACAAGTTTCATTGAACTTATCTTTTGTGACAGGATCAATGGAGTGAGTATGGCTCCTGAAGGATCTTGGGTTCATGCTCCTAAAGATACATTTATCCTTGGAATCAAAGAACTTGCTGAATCTGATTCTTCAATTCCACAAACACACATTTACTTTGCCCATGCTTATAAAGTAAGTATACAGTGTAACTTGAATGCTTGATCAAAGTAGCACTAGCTTTACATTGGAACCCCTTCCAGTGGTGTTATGGTCATTGATTATAATCAGTTATTGATTGAAAACCTTGAGTCCCACAACAAAATTGTTGAAATTGTTTGGTTGATTAAATATATATTATTTAAAAATATATTATTGACTAATAAAAATATCAAAACATATTTGTTATGCAACTATAATTGATGAAATTTTTCTGATACATTTTAAGGGAATAATTTGTTTGTTGGAGAAGGTTCAGAAAAAATAAGGAGGCCCTAAACCTGATATCAAGTTTTATTAAGCAAAAGCTGTATTTATCTGAGGATAATCTCAATTTATTCTGTAGTGGGTTTAGTGGATTTATCTTTGCTTTGTTTTTAGAATCAGGCTGGCTGGGTTGATTTACTTAATCGATTTATTAAGGGTGGTGGAAAGATTCTTGATGTGGAGTACATGACAGATGACAGTAGTAAGTGACAAAATATAATATTATCATTCTCTCGTAACTCATTAAATGCCACTATCCATGTATAAATTTTCCAGACCGAGAGTCAGTTGAGAGAATTTGATACATGATCAAAGCATTTTTGACAACCCTGGTAGACAGGCAAAAATATGTATGAAAGTAACTGTTAAAAGTAAATTGTGTTGTCTGGTACTTCTTTTAGAGAATATTCCATGTTTTTAAGAATTTTTGCAAGACACCTTTTCTCCGGGAAAGCCTCTTCTTGTAATAAAAAAGTTTTAAGTGAAAGCCTGATAACAGAAACAATGTAGAAGAGAATAATTATTGTCAAGGAAGAAACTGGAAGATAAATGACCACAATCAACATTAATGATATAAAATTAAACTTTAGAATTCATTACAACTTCATGCCGATTTAAGTGTGTACCCCAAATTTTGGGGTTATCAAGTATTCATATATTCAGGCTATTGTTCTTGCCATTGTCGATTACCTTCCGAAGAATCCACGAGCGGAATTCCTTTGATTTAGGTGTGATATGTCTCTTTTGTTTCGAATTTTGTTGCTTGAGTGACTTTTTAATCCCCATTGTTACCTGATGAGTATTAAATTTATCCATTAAAATACTCGGACTTGCCTGTTAAATTTGCTGCGGTCTGTGCATGGAACGCTTACAATTCTTTTAAGTGTGGCGGACAACTCTGGTTGCATAACATATTTTCGGTCACGCACCGTATTACAAACGAAACAAGCCTGATAAATTTGAAGTTGATTAAAGCTTATAAATACCTGTTCTCCTATGGTATTTTTTTTATTAAATACTCCCTTGCTTCAGCGGCTTGCTTTGTACTTTGAAACCTCGGCAAGAAAAAAAATCCAATCTCGGTCCACAGTGGTCGAAATTTCTCGTTCAAGATCTCTTTTTGAAGCTCTCAAAACTCTCCTTTCTGAAAAATACGTACCCAAGTCGAAAAAGTTTTGCGAAAGACTTAAATCCATAAACTTCTACCGCAATATGTGCGATAATTCTCTGCAGTTTTATTGACACATTTAGAACAAAAGGATACCTTTAAAACTTCGTGGCCCTGGGCAGCTTAATTAAGCCATTGTTCAATTCCTTTGAATTCGCTTCTGAGTCTTCCGCCATAAAATCTCACCTTCTTTGAATCGAGTCAAAACGAACACTCTCGAAGGGAAAGTCCGGAGGAATAAACTGAGCCTTCAGGGTACAAAATCCAGCGGTTATGCCCATTTCTGAAATACACACTTAAATCGGCGTGAAGTTGTAATGTACTGTGTTACAGTTTTGCAGGTTTTAATTTTTGCAGATACATTGTAAGTCCAGAGCAGCCTGACTTTAATATTTAATTTAGAAAATGTAGTGCTCAAAGATTCCAACCCCATGTGATGGAAAATAGGGAGTAATTATTAGCGCCGAAGGCGCAAGCTTCTAGGGGGGTCCGGAGGCATGCCCGCCCTGGGAAATTTTGCAAATTTAGGTTCTCTCAAGTGCCATTTCCTGAATTTTGACATCATTCCGGCCTGAGTTATAACATACCATAATGGCTCTTCGCGAAGAAAGTAAGTATAATATGAGTGTTTCACAGTGACAGATCGCCAAAAATTTTAAAGATTAGCAATTTTTCCCTAGTTTTCAAAATTTTATAATAAATCGGGAGAATTTGGTAAAAATCGGGAGAGCGGGAAGCAAGACATCAAATCGGGAGACTCCCGATCAAATCGGGAGGGTTGGAATCTCTGAGTGCTGGTTTGATGGCAGTTAATTTTTTTGTGTGTCATGACTGTTTCCCTTCAGATAGACGACTAGTTGCAACATTTCCTCATCTGGCTGGTTTTTCAGGAATGGCTGTTGGTCTCAAAGCATGGTGCCTTCAACAATTAAGGCATGTATCAACCTATTCTTGCTTCCTCTCCCCTCCGTCCCCCATCCAATCACACTGAGTTTGGAAGAGCTGTATAAGAAAACATATTCAACCTAAACCCTGTGTTGATGTTTTGCAGTGCTTAAAACTGTAAACCCCCTAAACATTGTTCAGCTCTATTTACTTGACAATTTTGAATGTGACCTGTTAAGAATTCCCCACTTTCTTTGGTGCATTAGTGATTGAAATTTATGGACTTTTCATTGTGTTTTTCAGCCCTCACAGTTCAATGCCATCTTTAGAGCCTTATGATAATGAAAAAGTATTGGTAAATGATGTGAAGATGATGCTTCAAAATGTTTCCAAGGCAAAAGGTATAGTAACTCATTAATATGAATAATGATTGATGTAGCCATGTTACAGGTCAAAATTAAATCCGGGTTAATAAGATTTTTAAACCAAGGTTGCTCATTTTCCTTTGTGTGCTTGCCCCAATCCTAATTCATGACTAATTAGGGCTTGGAGGCATCAAATTTTGACCTGTAAGAGCTACTTTTACTATATTCCCACCTATATCAAAAATAAGTAACTACCCTGAATGACTGCAGTTAAAATAGTCACACAACAAAAATTACAACTTTGAGAAAGTGATAAATTGAAAAAGATGGCATCTGCGTTGACATAATCTTTCCAATAATCTGTCCACAATATGAATGTTTATCTCTGATCTGACAGTAATTAACCACTTCACAGCCGACTTGAAAGCAAACATTGTTTATCTTAAAATCCAGGTCCAGCTTGTAAAACGAAATGCCTAATATTTTATTATTCACATACAGCTGTGATGTAATGTAGTCATTTTGACCTGTTCCAGCCTGTGCCTTTTTTCTCAATGGGCAATTCCAGAAAATATCCATACCCAACCACGGACGGCTTCCATGTTTTAACCCCCCCTTGCCTTCGGAAATTCCAAAATGCGCTACCCCTCCATGCCCTCAGAATTCCATAGTCGTGAACCCTCCCCTCCCCTTCAGAATTTCCGGTTTTTTTTGGAAGTACATTTTCGACTTAGCAACGCCTATAAGAACAAACGAACATGAATTTATGCCTCCTCAAGGCTGTGATCTAGCGGTGCCAGGTGACAAGCTTTACTCTTCAGTGACAAGAAAAACCTACGCTAGTTGCCAGGCCGTGCAAACTCCTTTTTAAGTCCGAATTTGGCTATAAAAATAAACACCACTTAAGGTAATTTTACTCCTCTTTGTTTTCTTGTGCTGTTTTGACGTTTACAAAGGAAAATAGCTCAAACAGACTGTTAAACTCTTTTGGCGGTCAAATATACCGTCGAGTCGTGTTGCGTCCTTTTATACGTCATGTAGTGTGCACGAAAAGCGTTCTAATCTGACAGGCGTTCCTTGGAAGTGAGGGACTGGTGCGAGTTCTTTACTGTTTATCGGACGGTTTCGGACGGGAGTAACAAGAAATTTGCAAGGGGTATTAAAAGATACATTTTCAGTTTTTATTCACGTGACAAGAAATTCATCAAGGTAAATGTGAAACCAACGTTTTACTGTTCACTTCTATAAGTTATGAGCGTAAACATGTGTCTGATCTATCGATGCTTGTCTTCTGCTTCCGCGGTCATACGTTCGTGGTTTATTTACGAACTACAAAAGTCCACAACAATATCGTTTTCTAGGAACTTACTCTACACTTTCTACTCCAGAAATCCCACCTGTGGAATTCCCCCATACCTTTGGATTTCAAATCGTAAATACCCCCCCATGCCTTCAGAATTCCATAATCGTGAATCCCCCCTCCCCTTCGGAAATCCTTAAAGCCGTCCGTGGTATGGTATGGATATTTTCTGGAATCGCCCAATCATTAGGGAAGCCTGGGTGGCAGTCAGCAGTGAGGGCATTCACCTCCCGGCAATGTGTTACCCAGGTTCAGATCCCAGTATTGACACCATATGGGGGTTGAGTTTGTTGTTGGTTCTCCCCTTAATACTCTGAGAGGTTTTTCTCCAGGCACTCCAGTTTAGTCCCCTCCTCAAACATCAACATTTCCAAATTCCAATTCGACTAGGAGCGGTAGACAAAGAACCACTACTCTTTGTTTCTTTATATTTTATTAATCATAAATGTTAATAAGTATGTGATTGAAAATGTTTTGACTTTAATGTGTAGCCAATGAGAGGTTTACAACTAATTTAGAGTGATTGTACAATATATTATATTATTATAATGTGCATGAAAGTGCACTTATCTCTCTTTGTTTTTCCAAGGTCTTCCAGATTGCCACCCTCGCATAGTAGTTATAGGTGCATTAGGACGCTGTGGTAAAGGAGCATTGGATATGGCTTACAAAGTAGGAATACCAAGGTACACAGGAATGTCTCCAGTAATGAATAGCCTACATTCAGTATATTAAAATTCTAACATGACTCCGAGGCTCTCTGGTCATTTTTCTATATTTGGCTTGGTTTTCTTTGTGCTCAAGTTTCCTCTGGGAATTGCAAGACATTAGAGTCATGAAACATTTGCAATTTTAACCCTAAAGCCTCATATTCTTGTTAAGATTTTAGTATATCGAACGTGGGCTATTACAGTATGGGTTCAGGGCATTAATTAGGCATCGGATATCGAAGAATTCACCGTTTACTACACATACTTCTCCAGCTAATGTGTGATAGCCCGTGACTATTTTTTGTTCAGACATGGTGCTTCTTTCACAATATCCTCCTGTAAGGTTACACCTTTCTCCTGCTACTAGCATTCTTAATGAAAACCCTGATGGGTCTTAGTGGCAGAAACTGTTTTGCCCTCATTATTGAAATATTATATATAATTTTTGATAGCACGCACATTGCAAAATGGGACATTAATGAAACAAAAGCCGGGGGACCATTTGAGGAAATTCTACAGTATGACATTTTTGTCAACAACATCAAGTTAACAAAGGTACAGTAAAAATTCATCAATTTAAATTTATACAAAACGCTATAATTCTGATTTTTGTGGGTATTGCAATCATATTAAATGAATCTCTCACATCCAGTTATGCACCTTCCAGTACCCATGAGCTGAATGTTGTCACCCAAGTTAAGGAAAATTTAAACTAATATTTTGTCTTAACAATATAATTATCATGTGGCTCATGCTTGATAAGAACTTATGTTAGTCAGATTTTGACGCATACATTATAACATTAAACTTTTCTTAAATTTTATTAAATCCACTTTAATTTGTTCCGATCTCCAGCCTTTAAGCTTTACACAGGTTCAATAATGTAGTAGGACCTGAGTATCACATTTCCTTGAATAAGTTCCCGCAGTTCCCAAATAAGCCAACTTTTCTCCAGCTAAGCTAGCAAATGGCAAATGAGGTTACCGCAAGCGACACTTTTTCTTTATCACTTTTCTATGGTTAAGAGTCAAGATGCTTTGCAAGCCTTCTTTTAGAAACTATCAGACGCATGGTGTATGTGGCTATTCTGTGGTGCAATTTCTGTTTCAATTAGCCTTGAAATTGGTGAAAAAAAATTGTATCCATCTATGATATGGTATTGTCATTAATGGCAGGAATTAGGAAGGAAGGGCAGGGTAAGAGGGCTAGAACCCCTGGATCTCCCACTGAGCTAAAAAAGGCATATTTAGATTTAACTTCTAACTTTTTTTGAGTCAAAAGCTTGAGATTTAATTCCGTTGGTTCCAGGATTTTTATGGAGGACCTGATCATATTCAAAGACTTGCAAATAGAAGGCCTCTATAAATCTCCTGGAGACCATACATGTATACTAGAAATTTTAATCCCAGCTACAGTTAATTTTACGTAGGGTATACGTTCATGTGCTTGATCAGAAAATTGCTTTGCAGAAAATTCCTCCATTTCTCACAAGGAAGGTGCTGGACACCGATCAGAGGTGAATAACAGCACAGACAGCTTGTGCAAAAAAAATAACCTCACTCACAGAAGTTCGGTTTTCAGCAGCCGTTAGTGGGGAGGAGTGTTGCGTGACGACACTAAAAGCGGCTGTGTAGCAGCAATGGTTTTTACTGGGATGTATTCATACTTTGCCTGTTCCTGTTACCAGTAATTGTGATCATAATATTTCCAGCCTTTTAATTTCACATTATATTTTTGCATTTTGTATTGTTGACTGATATTTGTGTGTTCACTATTTCTTGATTTCTGCTCCACACCTTTTCATCAACTAATTTTTCCAAGTCAGTTCTTTTCAAAGATGAACAAACTCACAGCTAACAAAAGTGTTAATTTTGAGAATGGCCACGGATGTTCAGTTACATGTAATTTTCCTCTTCTGGAATAGTCTTAAATCGACTCTTTCATAGTTGCATTTTAGTCTTACATTGTGTATGGCAATCTGGAATCTTTGCAATTAATTTCTTATACTTTACATAAGTAAGTACTTCTGTTACATGGAGAAATAAGAATATAACAACAAACAAAAAATATTCTTTCAAAATGTCCCTTTAAAACTGCACTATTTCTCACTGCAGGAATCTCTCTGTAGTGGTTGATGTTAGTTGTGATGTCAGCAACCCAAACAATCCTCTGCCATTCTTGGATTCCATTACCACATTTCAAAATCCCAGCAGGCGGCTACAACTCAGGTTATAACATAGCTAGAAAATTCGCCTAATCAAATTCAATAGCGCGAGCGTGCTTCATATTCCTATTAGGGACTTTAAGATCCGAGACGCGACGGCTGTAAGACGCGACAGGAAGTAGATTTTCAAAGAGGAGACATGTTGCGCATGCTCAAGCCGTTGTCCTGGTGTCACCACGTCGCGTCGAGAACGTGGGTTTTGCGAGTTTGACGTTCTGCACAAAACGTGAGTATATTTGTTCCTGTGCTTGAATTAAATGATGGTATATTCCTCTAAACATGTAACATCAGCCTCCTAGGATCATTGGACGTAATGTCTGGCGACATTTTAGATCGCAGAGATGGAAGGATTTTGATCATTTTTAAATTTCTTTCAGGTGTACGAAGCTTATAAAATGGCAGCGCCTTCGACTTCGACTTCGAGCGAGGCTTGCAAGTAAGTCACG